TAGATAATATATATATATTCCTAGAATTAATTTTCAAGATCTTTTGTTGAAAAGGATGACAGTGTCACATAATAGTGGCTGAAATAAGAAGACATCTTTGTTGTGAATGATCACTTCACCAGGAAAGAAGAAAAATCCAGTTCATTCGAGGACAGTGGGCTCATCTTGACAAAATTCTACTTGTATAACCCACACTGCCACTGAATTAGAGATGCCTTTTTTTGTTTACTTAGTATTTTGCCATTACCCTTCCTCCCAAAGAGATCACTTTTCTAGCTGCAACACATCAGGCAAATACCACTACAACTTGTACTAAGTAGCCACCACTGTTTTAACGCTCCAGCAACGCAGACAAGCTAAATACTAGTAACCAGTGGTCAGATTTTACAATTGCAAATTCCCAATATTCAGCTGCAGTGCTGGCAGCTATAATCTACACAGCTATTCATAGAATACTCAAGTAATATATTCAGTTTTAAGAGGTATGTACAATAATTTACCCAGTATTTCCCATCACATGTTCAGCGTAACAAGAATTACGGTCCCACAAGCAAACCAAATTTTTGAAATCCAAACAGATTTAAAAGCCTCTTGAGACTCAGGAAAATATGCTCCACGTAGTGGTGCAAACACATGTAGTAATTTCTTTCAAAAATCTTTCCCCATACTATCTGAAAGTCTAATATTGTACTACATATACTTGGTGCAGAAGAAGTTGGAAACAAGAAGTTGTTTAAGCATTCTACACAAGAAATTAACAAATGAACCTTTAGAAATATGACAGCAGGAGCACGACTGTAACAGCAACGTGATTAAGAACCCTGCTGTGTTATTGCCACCAGCTTCTGCCTGCATGCCACACAAAGTCAATATGTTTTAATTTATCAGTAGATTTTTTTTTAATAGCACCAGAGTTAGCATTCCCTTGAGAGCGTGACCTGCTCAATGACTGCACGTTACTTTAACACGTGTGAACTCAGCTGATTATTAAATTTCTTCATCATTCAGCATCCGACCGC